CGTCATGCCTGTTACGCTGCTTCCGCGATTCTCTGGTTGGTACGTGGCAAGGAGTAGGGTCACCTGTCCAACTTCGTAGGTTTTTTCCGGGTCCACCGGTTTCCTCCCACTGCTGAAGACCCCTGCGCGCAAGTGAATTATTGAAATAAAATTGAACCATTTGTTAGTCCGAAATGACCTAGTTTGTGTCGAGTTTACGTTACACCCCATTTGTCTCTCTCTCTCTCTCTCTTAGATCTGAGGCAGACTCCAGTATCCTTATCCCCCTGTCTCTAATGGGATTTTCTCCTAATTTGTCCCAGGGGAAACAATTAATAACCAAGATAAGAAAATGTGTCGAAAATGGAATCGGATACCCCCAAAACATATATTTTGACACAAAATGTGGTCATTTTGTAAAATTCAAATTTTCACGTCTAAGCTGACCGCCATCTGGAATATTTCCCAATATTGACCATAACGCGGTATTTCTAATCACCAAAGTGTGTATGGAAATGGATTCAGCTATCCCGAAAGGATATATTTTGATACCAAACTCGATCATATTATGATAATTGGATAAAAATTCGCATTTTCCGGCCAAAACTAAAGGCCATTTTGGAATTTGGCCAATTTGAACACTGATTTCGGACTGGGACTTTTTGTTGTTGATAATATACGTCTAGACCGATCGTAAACCGTGGTCAGCATTCCTATTGCGGCAACTGCTCGGAATGATGCGAAATGAGTTAATGCCTGGACTACAACCCTGGTTCATCGTATCCTATGCTGATTAGTTCTAAAAAAACATTATATATTTTTTTTATGAATATACAGTTCATTATTGTAACTCAACTGTTAAAAAAATGATGATATATTAGATCTACGTGTGATATATGACGCTGGATAAATATTTAGTTGTAAATTTTCCGAAAAGAAACACCAACAGTTACAATTTTTCAACATAGCAATAAATCGCTAAATTGTCAGAATAATTCCACTTAGTCAAGATGTAAGTAAACATCAATGTCAAGTGGTTGAAAACTACCCTGTACCTTTGTATTTGAAACATAAAATATGAAATATACTTTGTATTTTTTTTTCAACACATACTCAACAATGAACAGATCTACTTTACTCTGCTTGGTAACCCACGTATGAATCACACCAGATAAGAATCAATCTGTCAGTAGTAATTTATTCATGATTTAACCCCATGTTTCTTTCAACTAATTTATTTAAAATGCACATAAGGTCACCAGACGAAAATTTCTGTACTTGTAGCGAGTGGTTACTATATGCACTTTACGGCAGGTTCACACTAATCTGATTAAAAATAAATCAGGCATCTTCACTCGTAAAAACGACTTTGCCCATTATAGAAAACACTCTTAATCCCCTCATATGCCAGTGACGTCACAGTGACCGAAAGCATATTCGCAAGGTTTATTTCTTAATTACAGTCAGGCTGTGTATTCATTAACGCCTGACTGAATCCTTAATCCCCTAATTAAATAAAACAATTAACTGCCGAATAAGTTTAAGATCCAATTTAGAATTTGTTTTATAATACCATTAAAAGGACAGTCGCTGTAGTCGTATTCCCCGCGTCCTTTTGATCAGAATAAATTTTAATTAGAGTAAGCCAACAGAAAACCTGTACAATAATGCGCTTTCTGTGAAGGAAACAATATGGGTGTAAAATTGTTATCGACGGCGCTACGAACATCTATAGAGTTAAGAGATAATTAATTGTCGGTGTGATTGACAAAGTAAAAGCGTCGAATCGACTTCGTCTCTGGTCGCAGCACACCAATAGAGATGCTTCGTTATACTTGGAATCCAGTTATTGATGCTGCCATAGTGTTTTTTTTCTTTTCTGAGTGTCATCAGTTTTGTTTTCAAACCTGGACGAAAAGGTTATAATTCTAATGTTATAATTAACATTTCTTTTATAAACTTCTTCATTCCTAAGTCCTTCTAAGATATAGTATGACATAAAAGTCAACTTTAATAATGTCAATGGTAGGTTTTATGATGATCCGAGCTCTATCAAGCTACAAATAAAACAAGTTTACCTTTAGTTTCGTGCCAGACATGATAGAAAGACTTTATATTCACCAGGTTTTCTCGGATCCATTTTCCGATTTAAGCAGCCAGCTGTATATCATATTCCTGGAGTCATCGTACGGCGTGGATGCTGGATTTGACTTCATTATTCTAACAATAATGAAATAAGAAAAATATTTGACTACGTCAGAATTAACACTTAACAGTAGGCCTACAACTAAATTTGGGCTAATTATTTTTATTGGCAACCAACTAAATTAAACAACACACTATATTTGTTATTAGTGCAAGTGTCTGTGTAAGTGTACACGTGTCGGTAATCATTGATTAATCAATACCGACCAAAAGTTGCACAGACATAGGATCATAGGTTAATTTACTGTACGTATAGTCAGTGGTCACTATATAACCGGATTAAGACTGTAATTGAAAAATTAAAAACGGTAATATGTCCAGTGGGCGGATCCAGAAATTTTTGTAGGAGGGGGTTTGCTAGGCCCCTGTTAAGAAAATCTAGCAGCTGACAATGCATGATGTCTCTAAATTACGTAGGCATATATACACACTTGGCTTTTTAAAGAGAGAAATCCAACATCCTGTTTTTATATTTTTTTAATGAATTAATAGGATCGCGCTGTGATTCGATTTCATTGATGCAAAGCATTAATTGTGACATCACACATGTTTATATCATTATTTGTGCTTTGAATGCCAAACCCATCCCACCATCTGATGATAAAGGATAAAGCACACGACCGTTACACTTTTCTCATAAAGTGTTGTTTTACAAAAACAAAAAAAATATGTAGCTGAGCAGGGTGGGGTTTGGAAATCTACGAACTTTTTCATGAGAGTCCGGTACAATTTCAACTCTATTATAGGCTATTTATTATGTGTGTCACTGGTGGCATTGTAAAATAACAGACAATATTGTTAGAAATGTTCGACCAAAATTCAAACGCACCGAACTCAAAAGTAAATTCAGATATTTGTTTGAACGAGAGACACGTGTATTAAAACTAAACAAATTATAAGTGAAAATATACAATTTTTACACCCCGCAGTTTTTATGTGGTCGTATATTGCCGCCAGCTCTGACTAATTGAAATAGGTTGTCGACCACTTTTAAATTCAGAATCCTATTGATTTTCAACATTTTTCTATTATCACTTGTTATGAAATTTATATTTGTTGTCGGTTCTCTTGAAGGGAAAAATCCTATTCATTGTCATCGATTTTCGTTAATAACTAAGGAAAAGTTGTGGTACCTCAGAGGCTTCAAATATGGTCCGGTCTTTTGGAAATCGTATTGGTTATTAAGCCCATAACATCACGAACGACATAGCTTATGTTACGTTGCCAGGGTTATTCCCATTTGTTTCGAAATTATGATTCGAATTTTCTTAAATTTGAATGCATTGTTTATGAATAATCTTATTCATTTTAAATGATTTTTTTATAGCTGTTCAGTCGGCAGTCTGTCGTCCACTTTTCTTGCAAGGAGGCTATAGGATAAGGTCACGAGATATAAACAGGGTCAGGGCACGTGATTGTTGCCGGGTTAGGGTTAGCGCTAGCCCTGTTTACATTTCGTGACCATGACGAAATCAGGAGGTGGCCTAGGCTTAATTTGAGACCCCACCCTACATAAATTCATGTATTTTTTTAAAACATACATGGTTTGTCGGTCTCATACAAAAGAGTTATTTTATTCCCCTTTTTACCTAAATCTAGATTGCAGCTCGGAGCCTTAAGTAGGGGGTTAGATCTAAATATTAAGGCCATTAAGGTCACTAGATGTAAACAGGGCTAGCGCTGACCCTAAACCGCAATCCCCGGCAACAATCAGGTGCCCTTACCCTGTTTTCATCTCGCGATCTTGAAGAGATCTGTAGGTAGCCTTAATATTTAGATTTGACCTTTAAGTAGGTCACTAGATATGTATACTCCCCATACAATTCAAGGTAGATAATTTATTATCAAAAGGGGGAGAAAGCTGATATACTAATCGTGTAAAGAAAGGAGATCTCTCAAACACACAATGACCTTAGCGGAGTTTAAAATACATTTTAGTCAAAACATGGACCTTATGATATTATAAAGTCCATGTTCAAAGTTAACCTGCTTTAAAATATTAAGCCTTTCTTAGTAAATTGAAGTTAAGAATTTAAAAATAATACTAATATTAATTATGGTGTCTGCAGATTTAATATTTACAAGTACAATATGTTAAGAATTATGTTAAAACCATATGTTTTGTTAATTAGTAACAATACTAATCATGGAAATTTATTTTGTCAAACTAGAGAAAATAAATAATGACTAGCCTCAATACCGAATACAAAAAAAAATATAACTCTTCTTTTTTCAAACTTTATAGTGACATTAGCGTACCTGAATGTATTTAGTGCCAAACTCTCTGAAAAGGTGCAGGTATTGGGAACTGTTGGTAAAACAGTAGCTTTAGCGGTCATCATCATCTGCGGAATAATCAGGTTAGCAAATGGTAAGACTTTAATCGACCAATAAAAGACACTTTGAGTGAAGTCAAATTTTGTGCGTGTCACAATGTAATTTTTTGTGTTGGAGAACGAATGCCCACCATGAAACATGATATTTATATGCTTTTCAACTTGCGATGGGCGTATATTCCAATACGATGCTCGGAGTAAGTTTATGAAATCTTTTTTTTTGATGAATAAGTTTATTCTATGTAACGCGATCAAATATGGCTATAAATATCCAGGCAATACTTGATTTTAATCGGAAACTGGTAGAATTATTTTGTCTTTAACTTTAGTGATTATTAATATTTTGAATTTAAATTTACGAAGTATGAGATATGCATATTGTTAGTGTGTTATCATGATGTAAAACGTATAACCACTGTAGCCTATATAATTTCGTATATAAAAAGTACCCATGTAAAGGATTAATTCGTTTTATTAAAGGTCATGTAACTGAGCTGAAAACTGGTTTTGATAACACAGAAACAAACCCAACAGCTATAACTTCAGCAATCTATAACTGTTTGTGGGCATACGGTGGATGGTAAGTTTAAACATCTTGTTTAAAATAAAATATCTGGATAAACAGTGTAATCTTATTAAGAAAAGGAAAAAGATAGTTGTATCCTTAACAAAATATCCCTTGAAATATCATTGACGGGCTCATCCTCGGTATCCGCAGTGTACTCATTCCGTTCTACTCCACTATATGCTGGGTTAATCCATAGAGTTTCCACGATTTCAGATTATCTGCCCTGGACTTGATTGTAGCTATAGTCTACGAACCAATCAAAAACAGTTTACCAAAATGTCGTTTCGCCTGCATTTTTGTAAGGGTAGATAACCATATTCATGTCAATTTACTGAATGATTTATGTAAATAATGTATATATATTTCTATGTATATATATTTATGTAATTATCAAAATCTGCAGTATGTTTCGCTGATTTCAAATATGAATAACATCTATGTGTTTGACTTTTGTTATTATTTTTACTATTCGTTCTTTGTCTGAAATGTTTCATTCTGTTATATTTTTAATTATTGAACTTATACTTTGATTTGATTCACAATGACTTTTGTCTGCGATATCACCTCGGTGGAAGCGGACGTAAAATACAACTAACTAAGTAAGTCACAATGACTTGTCTACGATATCACGTGGACGTAAAACTCCGCGAACGAAAGAAAGAACGATTCTCAATTAAACACTTGAATCTTCCTCGTACATAAACGTCCGGTCTGCATTAATATAATATTATATAATTTGTTGTTAACAAATACGCATTAAGAATAATTTGAACTCCGCTCAATAGGGCTATTCCTGGCCCTATCCGATGAGAGTTACTTCCCTTTGACTAATTCCTTTGCAATTAACGATTTATGGGATTGGTCGATAAAAATAGCACAATCATCAAGGGTGGATAACTTGCAAACGTGCCCCCCCCCCTCTAATGAAACCACTGGGGATACCGAGGATGTGACGGGCTATACTTGTTCGCTTATAAATGTCTTTTGTGTAAAAGGGTTTTCGATGTGATATTTTTTTAGGGCAAGTGTAAATAATGTAACCAAAGGCGTAAGAAAACCTCCAAGGTGATTATTATTTTTACATTTTAATCAGAATATTATTGCCTCTAAATAATAATACTAACAGGCATAATATTCCATACTAAACGGACGGAAAATATTGGCTTTCAAACCAAACACAATAAATAGCAGCCTTACTTATAAATGGATTAATGGGAGTAGAGGCCATCTGGAGTCCCCATTGCCTTATTGATTTCGTTTCGCCATCTTGTTTTTCTCTTAGATAGCTACTCAACTTATGAACACTAGGTCATGTCTATCCAAAAATATTGAGGCCAATATGGCATGTAACCAATAATAGTTTTTAATCGTCTTGAAACTATTGTCTAAAGTCCTCATTTTTGGTAAATGTAAATATGGAAAATGATTATTAGCCATTAGGCGAATTTTCAGTGAATGTGTAATGAGCATCATGTAAAATATATCCAATTGTGTATCAGTGCCACCCATTAAATTTGTACTACATACTGTGTTTATCATATCTTTTCCATATTGACAGAAATCTACCTCGATTAATTAAAGTCGCGATCCCAACAGTAGGTGTGATATTTATGGCTGTAGTGACGTCATATTTTACTGCGATGACGAAAGATGAACTTGTTGGGTCAGAAGCTATTGGTGTGGTAAGAATTATTATTTAAATGATAATCAGGCTTCTTGTAGTAATATAAATAATATTTGTACCGTAAACATAGAAACACTTGTACTGTCTCTGTTTTAATCTATGTAAATATATACAACAAAAATCAAAGGGTAAAAAATATAACTTCTTCATAAATCAAATCATAAGCTAATTGAACAAATATATAATACTAATTTATAGACGTAAAGACATAAATAGGGCAGCTGTCCAGTTTCGCTATAAACATAACGATACATAGAAAATGGTATTATTGTCGTTAAAAAAGTAGGGGATATTGAAATGCAAATACCTATGCAGGTTGTGATATGATAAATAGTCATGGACACTTGACAGGCTTTTAGAGTATGTTCACAGATGAAGAACTTATCGCCCCAACAGAACCACTGAACTGCATGTGCGACACGCAATAGCGCCATACACGTGGGGGGGGGGGGTCATTGTTAAATTTGACACTTCAAGGAAGGGTTGATGGAAACTGCCGCGTGCCATGTTTGCTTTCCTATCGGTTCTTGCATAAGATTTACTGCTTAGCGTATCTTTGCTTTAATGTGTTATGTTTAATTTGCAATGAGACGCCTTCAACATGATGAACGTCTATGTGCTATTGGCATGTTTCAAATAAGTTCTGCACAGCGAGCAGTAGCCAACATGCTTAATGTGTCACAGCCTGTGATGCATTCGTACACAGGTCCTGCGAAATCGAGGACAAACGATACAGGAATTCGAGTTACACCCCAAACGATTAGAAATCGGCTACATGCAGCCCATTTGCATGCGCGACGACCGCGTGCTGTGCCTCCATTAACTCGCCAGCACATGGCAAACAGGCGTCAATGGTGTAGGCAGCGTAGAAATTGGGGTACTCGTCGATGGGCACGTGTAGTGTTCTCAGATGAGTCCAGATTTACTCTGGATTTCACCGATAGGCGTGCTCGCGTTTGGAGGCGTGTAAATAAGCGGCATGCTAACGTTAACGTCAGACAGCATGACAGATTCGGGCGTGGGTCTGTTATGGTGTGGGAGGAATCACCATGACTGTTCTAGGAAGGGTCACCAGTGTGTACTACCGTGACCACATCTAGGCACCGATAGTTCTGCCCTTTGCTCAACGTGCAGGTCGACGTTTCATCTTTCAAGATAATAATGCTCGTGCCCACCGCGCTCGCGTCGTGAATGACAACCTCAGCGTCACCATATTGTCCATATGCCTTGGCCAGCCATGAATCCCGACCTTTCCCCTATAGAGCATGTCTGTCGACGTCAGGAATTTGCCGTGGCACTGCAAGAGGAGTGGGCTAGATTGTCTGAGGATTGGTGGATCAATTACTCATTATTAAGACAAAACTCAAAAACGTCCATCTCTTTTTGCGAGTGAAATGGGGCCGTCAGATAAGTCGCCCAGATGAACTGTTTATGTTCATGTGCATGTAATTGGCCTGTTATTAACATACACTGGTTACCTCTAACAAAAACAGCAGTGCATTTCCGCAGTGTTGTATTGTTTCTGAATATCCCCTACTTTTTATAATTAATAGATAATAATAGAGAGTCTTAACATTCCCTTATAGGTCTGAAGTAATGAATTTTATACTCTTCAAAAAAAGAAATGCATAGCCTATTTTTCATCATTTTTTTATTTGAACGAGATCGTTGTTTCCATAAATCTTACTTGTTTTTAATGTCATCATGTAAGGATAAAGGAAATTCATTATTGGTTTTAAATGTATACAGGGTCACTAATTGTGACTGGTCATACTTTTTGGCGAAATTTGTTTTCGCTTGATTGCACCAAGACACATGAGTTTAACAATTTCGAAAGCTTTTCGCATGAAACCCAAATCTGAGGCCTTTAAAATCCTGGGATGTATTTCTGTAAGATCCCTTCCTACATATCATATTCCTACAAATACTTTTGGTTTAAATGGGTCAAATTGCGTAATATGCTAATTAGCATAATGTCATGTTTCAAAAATTGACTTAATGCTATAACTTGGCTATCGAATGTTCATATTCTAAACCCATGTTTTCGTGACCAGGGAAGCAAATAAACACCTTTAGAATATACTCACTTTATTACATAATGCGCAATATGCAAATTAACAGCCGCCATCAGTGAAAACCTTATTTTCCCCCTCTAAATCCGAAACTCTTTGACTTAGCTCCATGAAACCAGTACCTACACCAATAATTTCAGGGTCAAGGGTACCGAAAAACACCAGGAGAACACCACAGTTATATTGCATAATATAGAATATGCAAATTAGACGCCTCGGCTATGACTGAAAAACACACTACATTCATTTAGCATATTACGCAATTTGTAAACATTGAACGAGCTACAAGTCATGCCACATCCTATGGAAGGTCGACGCAACAACGCTATCAGTCGGTTACAAGCAGGTAAATCCCAGACAGATGTAGCCAGACTGCTGAATGTTTCCTACAGTACTATCTCTCGCCTTTGTGATAGATACCGACAGAGAAGTTCAACACGTGGCCGCGCAACCTCAGGCTAAACAAGAGTGATATCACCTGCCCTGGATCGTCACATCCGGTTACGTCATTTGCGGAAACGGTTCACAACAGCGACCTCTATTGCAGCAGCAATTCCCGGATGGCGTAGGATCTCAGACCAGACAGTCCGTAAGCGCCAACCGGATTACGAGCCAGATGTCGAGTTAGAACTGCTGTTTTGAAATACGACGCACCATCAAATCCGACTTTAATGGGCTCAGACAAACATGGTATGGTCACAGCGACGAGTCGTGGTTCTTGTTGCAACAAGGCGATGGTAGACCGAGGGTAATCCGACGACGAAATGTCACAGTGCGTTTCATTTTTTGAAGAGTATTCATGTATGTATATCGTCAAGTATTGGTTTTCATTAAATCTTAACACAATAAATATGCGGGTTTTCACTAGACGACGAGGGTTGGTTGATATTGTATGTATTTTTTGTTTTCTAGACCTGGGCTGATCGGGTTCTTGGTGCATATTTTCCAGTCATACCTATTGGTGTTGGTTTTCTAGCGTTAAGGAGTGCAAATGCAACTTTTTTGGATGCTGGAAAGTAAGTATTTTAGAGCACCAGGTCCCATTTCCATTTATATAGGTAATTTACAAGGCTAACGCTTTTCGTTACCCTTTTAATTTGAAAACTTTGCAAGGCTATTCCAACGTATGTCGTCTTTTTCCAATATCCATATCTATTAGTGTTATCTCTAGAACACCTGGTCATTCACTATATGGTGTTGGGGGTGGGGGGATTATACACTTAGGGCGCATTCTTCGATAGTCTTCTAAGAGTTAGAATTACAGTTGTAAAACGTAAGCAAGAAATAATAGTGTGAATGTATCCGGGAATCGACAGCTTTCATTATGCTGTATGGCCCCCGGCCTGCAGTAAAACATGGAATCTAGTGCAAGTCCTGATCAGCAAGGTGTCTACGAGAAATCTCAAGAGAGAGAGAGAGAGACTGAGAGAGAGAGAGAGAGAGAGAGATCGGGTTTAACGTCCTCTCAGCGCAAACAGGTCATTTCGGGACCAACATATGCTTCAACTTTATTTCAATAATTGGCGTGCGCGTATTAGTCTTTAGCAGTGCGCGCTGTATCATAAGGTCTGTTAACTGGCGGGGTTTCGATTCCCGGTTGTACGTGACAAGGAGTAGGGTCGCCTGTCCGACCTCGTGGGTTTTCTCCGGGTCTTCCGGTTTCCTCTCACTGCTAAAGACCCCTACGCGCAAGCGAATTATTGAAATAAAATTGAACCATGTGTTAGTCCCGAAATGACCTAGTTTGTGTCGAGTGGGCGTTTAACCCCATTTCTTTCTCTCTCTCCCCCCATTGGCCAATCACGCTATTTTACCGAGATTTCATCTTATGGTTTGGATGCAGCTATGGCGGGTGTGGCGACAGGCAGGGTAAGCTTACTCTTCCGGACACCTGTTACCACTCTTTGTCGTGTATTTTGTACACGGTGAACAGTCCATTTGCTGATTACACTATTTTGCCGATACCGTTTTTTTAGGACTTCGAATTTTGTCTAATGGTTTGGTTTGTTCGTACTTGGTTTTATTTTATTTATATCACCGTGCGTGATAAATATTTGTTCTAAAACACATGACTGTTTTAACAAACTTTGCTTTCATTACTTGTGTATGTAAACGGTTTGCTCGGAGAAAACTAATTGTGAATCTGCACAAAACCTGTTTTCTGAGTTTATTTAGTTCGAACTTAATAAAAATTTCATGGGATTTAAGTGCACAGTGCGAATTTTGGGTCTCCAGTATCTGGTAGTTATATATGCGCATGCATTTGCTGTGGTAATTTTTGACGTTATTGTCTGGAAATTCTTACCAATGTTTTGCTATATCATATGCCCTACAAATCTTTAAACATTTATTTTTATCAGGAAAGAGTTCTCAATACATACAAAGAATCCACTCCTCATGGTTTTGGGATACTGTTCATATTTATACTGAAATGATTATTTGAAACCTAGCATCGTCACATACCCGATAGAGACAGTACACATGGTCTATGGAACAATTACCGAGCGACGTTTCTACTAGGTTTTTCTAAACAAATTTGATAGAGCATTACTTGTAAAATCGAAGTTTTTATTGTGTTATTTTGCTACTCTTAATTAGTATTTTGTGTCACCTTTATTTGCAGATTATCAGGAGTCGCCGTTAAAGACAATAAAATGCCAGAAGTAGCAGCTTTTGTTCACGTTAGAAGTAAAACCCCGATTTTGACTGTTATAACAAGGGTAGATATAACAAATAAATAACATTTAATTATTAATAAACATGTTTTGTTTTATAATAAGTTGGTAAAAAATTGTTCTGTTATTTTCTCTAGTCATTTTTAATTCGTTCAGTTATTTTCTCTGTTCCGTTTCAGGCCATAATTGCTATAATTATGATTATTTTGGGGACCCTATCGTCACTTTTAAATTTCTTTATCTTCATTGTTTGGGCGTTTCATGGATTATCTGTTCTGGCATTGATAGTTCTCAGATTTAAAAACAAGAAAAAGAAAAGACCATATAAGGTAAGTAAGGTATCATAGCCCCGCGTTTTAAACAAAACACTTTGGGACCTGGAAATCAACACAAATGGGTCGCAACGCATATAATAATGTAATATAAATGTATATAAACTCTAATTTCAAATCGGTTATATTCAATCGAATGCCAGTCTATTCCAGCAGTATATATGGACACATGCTCCCCAGATAAGGATATGGGTCACCGTATGTCTAACTTCGTTCTTCGAGTCCCTTCTTACAAATGGCGCCGAAACGCATTATGGTACACGATTCGTGTACCAGTGTAACAATGGAAAAATGTTTATTTTGTTTTAAATATCCGATATCAGAAGCCCATCTTTTCCCGGCAAGATCGCAACATCAATGTTGATTTAAATTGAAGAATAATTCGTGCTTTCAATGATTTGTGTTAATTTGCCTTGTTCTGTAGATATCTGTTTTTTGGGATCGTATGTCTGCAGTCAGAGCAAATAAATAAACTGGCGTGTACGAAAAGGATAGCACAATTATTATCACTATATTTGTCTAAGAGACATAATGATAGCTTAGTGAAATTAATGTATACTTAAAATGTCCAGAACTTCCGTTAGAATTGATCAATTTTAATGATTTTTTGGGGCCAAAACGTTCTGATCGTGTATAATCTTAAACTCTATATCGAGCCTTTTTCCGTGTATGTTGGTGCTTTAATTGTATAGATGCGTCCCATCACTAACCCAATTAATACGTTAGATGATCTTGTCGTATTTCAGGTTTATCTGTTTATGCCTGTGATAGTTGTACTGGGTATCACCATATTACTGATAACTCCGTTTTTGGAAAGGCCGAAGGATGAGTTTATTGTTGCAGTTTCCTTGTTTATATTATCGTTTATAGCTTATCTTCCTTTAACTTATTTAAAAAGCTACAATCCACTTTTCTTTGGTAAGTTTAACTAGACACAAATGTGTAGAAATATAGAATGAATTCCGCAAGTAATCATTTATGCTAAAGAGGGCTTATGTGCCCTGTTTTCTAAGAAAAAATAAAAAAAATAACTCTGCACAATAATTACGATAGCAGTCTTATTCGGGATAGCCTATGATAAATACCGTCAAAATCAGTGGGTCGGGTCTCTAATATCTGAGAACTTAATTGAAAATATGGAAAAGCAACTCATTCATTGGGAAAGTCACTATCATAAACCATTACAATTCAATACAACATCACCGCTAACAGGCCATTAAAAAAGAAAAATGCCGAACATGTACGCATACATTCTGTCTTAAATAGAAAACAGTTAGCGGTTTCCATTCGATAAGATATACATAATTAGATAATTTGGGTCCTTTCCTGATAATTGTGCCATGTTTTAAGTCTTTAAAAACATATTTTCCACGGATGGGTATTACTCTTAAGTCACGTTTTTAGAGTCTATTGTCATTTCGACCATAGGCCTTCCTAATACCCGTCTTAAATGTACCCTCTGCTAGTATGTCTTTTAGTTCTTTCTTACGTGTATTATTTTAAGCCTCGCTTCGTTCGGCCATACATATTTACAGATAAGTTAAAGGTATAAATCCCTAGCTCAGGTACTTGCCTTAAGTCGTTGGCGGTCGTTGAACCACGTATTTTTAGGGTGCCGGATTCCACCGTTATGCTTCATATAGAAGTTTTGTTGTATATTATGCTGAAAGATGTAGCCTCATCCGAAATATTCGCGCCTTGTCCAATATGATCCATAGGTCATGCTCCGCTACTGATACCAGATATATTTAAGCCTCCATATACATTTCAGATAAGATCACAGTATGGCTGCAATTGTTCTTGAGAATAGTGCCCAGAAGGTAAGTATCCTTTGGCTTTCTTATAGATACGAGAATAGACCCTGGGCATTATATTAGGATTCACAAGCATTACCTTATATCTTCTATTTCCAACAGGGCTCTACGAAGAAAGGCTTCTATTATGGCAGATCGAATGTACAGCAGAAGAATGTCCACACCAGAAACAAGGGGTTATTTGCGCTATAATAGTACTGTTAAGTCAGGAGGGATTGACAACAACAATGACAGTTTACGATTTAGAAATCCTGTTGAAATGTCAAAGGGGGTGGTGACAGATAAACCAATTGTATCTATTCTGAAGAGATCTAATGATAACGAATCAGATCTTTATACTGAGACAGACATAGACCAAGGCCTGTCAATGTCCGCAGAACAACAAAGTATGGATGGAAGTATTGATGACGATTATGCCACTGATGATGATTTGGGAAGTACTGATGATGAGTTAGGAAGTACTGATGATGCATTGTCTTCTTCTTCGTCTTCTTCATCAGATGATAATGGTGATGAATTAGTTGACAGTAAATCCGATGCGAAAACTGCCAAAAAAGTCTAGAAATTATGATAGCATTCATAAGAAACATGCAACGATATCTCTTTACCATTAAAGATCAAAGGGGCGTATTTTACATGTATGTTCGACCGGCCAATGCATAACAGAAGGCAATAATAAACTTAAAATTGGACAGCAGAGGGTTGAGTCGTAAACTTTCATTGTGAAATATCTTTGTTTACAAAATATGGTTTTAAATGCATTACCGTATACGACGACATTTGAGCACATCAAAGGTTTTTGGACAATTTGTGATGGAGGCATAACTTTTATAATTGATAGCTTACCATTTATTTCATTTTAAAACGGGAATATTATAAAACAAAGTACCTGCAATGTATTAAAATTATATATTACTTTAACATTATCGGTAATAAAACTCCGATTCGAGATTTTGACGTTCAGGAAAGGCACTCTGTTGCTTTTTGGGCAATAACTTTGACCTTGGCTGACCTGGGGATTTTTTCCTATTTTACCGTGATGAAATCACTAATTCATTCCTTCATTTATTAATTAATTGAAAGATTTTTAACTGTAGCTATATTGAAATGTTTCAATCTGTCGTCAGTTATTTGATATTCATTATTCGATATTCATTACATCAGTATCTTGGCAAAGGATAAACAGATACAAGGCTGGCCGAGGTCAAGGTAATTGCTATTAAAAGCCCCCAGAGTACCAGACATGGCATCCGGATCAAATTGGTAAATATCCAAATCTTAAAATTAATGTACATTCATTGATATTTCAATGCTCACGTTTTACTTCGGGATAATATTTCCCATAAATGTAAATAAGTTACAAACTCTGCCCATTTGATAACGGATGGTTGTATATTTCTCAAACAACAAGTCGTGACTTTTATTAGGAAAATGTTGCAGATTATGAAATCACCCCGATCTTTCTTAGCTAAACCGCCATAAGTTAGATCAAAATAAAATGTCGAATAGTGGTGATCTGATACATCCAAATGTTCCTTATGTTGAAATTATGGGCATAGAGATTTGACATCCTGAACGAAATGCAGTATAATTGCAGTATTCAACAAAAATGGGTTATTCTGATGACCATTTTGGAATTCAAGATGTCAGCCACCAGATTATCCGCAACCATCTAATAGCAAGCAAATTGCAGCTAAATCTGGAGATGGCCACGTTAACTAAATCCATAACTGTATTAAAACATGTGGCAAAGTTTATCTGTTTTGCATTATGAAAGAGACAGACCACCCAATGCATAATAATGTATATAGTATTGCACGTTTCCAGTTGTATTTTTCATTCAATCGACTGGCCGATTTTATAAGATATTAGTATTTATAATCGGGTATTTATAATTCCTAGTATTATCTAATCTGAAATGTATGTACATGAATTATTTTTAATCAGTAAAATCTCGAGTCATATATTTATATGTCAACATGTACATAGCTTTGAGCGGTAACTTATAACTCTATGGGCATATGTTAATTTTTGCATGTCCACAGCTTTAATTGTATGTGCTTATCGTATCGGTACGAAAACGAGTGCGAAAACGAAAAGTTAGTTTACGTTTTCGACCACACACGTTTTACATTGTGGCTTATTTCTGTCGAACATATTATCTAATGATATATTTCAACCATTTCCAGCAAATGTTCATACACTCATAACTTATTCAATATTTTTAAAATTAAGAACTGGCAGATTCATCTAGAATTGAAATATGGAAAATTAAGTTGTTTTTATACGCCCACATTTTCATGTGGACGTATACTGTCGTCGCCCCGTTCGTCTGGATTTTCATCCGTCCGTCCGTCTGTCCGTCCACAATTTGTTTGTGGACACTCTACAGGTCACAATTCTTATCCGATTCGGATCGATACTTCATGGATTATGGCCCCTGATTGTACGAGAAATCACATTTTTAGATTGTGGACACTCTAGAGGTCACAATTTTCATCTGATTTTGATGAAATTTGAAATGCATGTTTATAACCCACAGATCTTGGTTCCTTTCGATGTTCGGGCATATCGGATCGTAACTTCCTGAATTATGGCCCCTGATTGTACGAAAAATTGCGTTTTTAGCTTGTGGTCCCTCTAGAGGTCACAATTATTATCTGATTTAAAAAACCGTTCGAATATATTACCGTTACATTATATTGTTGATTGAATTCGAATTTCATGAAAATCGGACCAAAACTGCCGGACAAAATGTCCCCGATTTTGATGAAACTTGAAATGCATGTTTATAACCCAATGATCTTGGTAGCTTTCGATATTTGCGCATATCGGATCGTAACTTCCTGAATTATGGACCCTGATTGTACGATAAATCTTGTTTTAGCTTGAGATCCCTCTAGAGGTCATAATTATTATTTGATTTACAAAACGTTTGAATATACTTGTATCACCGTTATACCGTAAAGTTGGTTGAGTTCGCATTTCGTGAAAATCGGACCAAAACTGCCAGACAAAATGGCCGCCCTCGTACGTAAATAGTGGAACCATCCGATATATCAAGGTTGTGGACCCTCTAAAGGTCACAATTTTGATCTGATGTTGATGAAACTTAAAATACGTGTTTATAACCTACAGATCTTGGTTCCTTTCTATATTTGCGGATATCGGATCGTAACTTCCTAAATTATGGCCCTTGATTGTATAAAATTTAAAGGTCACAATTTTTATCCGATTTAAAAAAAAAACGTGTGAATATATCACCGTTACACACTACGATCTTGGTTCCTTTTGATAATCGCGCATATCCGAACGTAACTTCCTGGATTATGGCCCCTGATTGTTCGAAATATCGCATTTTTAGCTTGCGGATTCTTTAGAGGTCACAATTTTTTTCCGATTTTAAAAACCGTTTAAATATATCACCATTCCACCATAATGAAGGTTTGAATTCGAATTTCGGGAAAATTGAAATGAAACTGCCCAACAAAATGACCATATCTTCCTCGTTTATGGCCCCTGATTGTACATAAAATCACATTGTCTTTTTAGCTCGTTCTCTGTCCATCTCTTGCAAAATGTGCGCGTATCTTGCATGGCAACCGCTTGTTTGCTTATTGTAAATTTATATATTTGTGCAATTGTGTAATTAATTAAAAATAAACAACCATCACAGCTTTGTGGAAAACTCGTTTTAGTTAATGATTGATTCATTCTGAAAATTTGGGTGACAAAGAAATTTTCGGGCAAAAAGCCTCAGCCCCCCCCCCCCCAAACTGAGATTGTTCCTACGCCAATGGGTCCACCAAACATTTTGAACTTTGGCAGATACAAAACGAAACTAGTAGTATTTCGCATTTTAGCACATTCTATACACTCTACGTAATCAACACAAATTCAATATATACCGCGAGAAACATGTTCGTATACACGCCTACGTGATTCCAATGCCGAACCTGTATAGATGTATCTAACCGTGAACATGGGGTGTAGGGGATGTTGACACAGATTCACATGATTCGACGAGTTGTTAGTTTTCGAGTTCGTAACCTTACAGATGCGAAAGGTCTCTATATCAAACTTTGTGATATTTTATAAATTGTTTGTTCTTTGGGTAT